TCATTAGTATAAATTAACTAATTCTATCCAAGGGACCATAAGTTCTTTAAAAACATAATTTTAATAAAATGATAAAACATTGATTTAAAAGATATATATATAATTAATCACAAATATCAGCTGTTAAAATGGTGTTAAGGGAAACTAAATGCTTTAAATCACAAATTACCACCATTTAGAATCTAACACAGTAAAATTAAATGTTTAAGAAGCAAATTGATATCTCCAAAGTAAATAAGATGTTAGTATTTTTATTTTTAACACTTTCCATACAACAATGATGTTCTGCTTTTCTTTATTCTAATAATATGTCTGTTTAATTTTTCCTGGGAAAAAAAGCATTAAGAACCAGGAGAACAAGCATGAATTAGATTCAGTTCAATTTATGGAAATTCAGTCTTATGATACTCTTCAAAGATAGCTAATACTCAAGAACAATTTTCCCTGGTCTCTTTATTTTGTTATACTCTTTACAATGTCTTCTCTGTTAATAAGTTGCTACAGGCCTTTCAAGTTTTCTTACCATTTAGTTTTGACTTCCACGTCACATTTCTGACATAAAGGCTTCATCAGGTATACTGCAAGCTGAGTTTCCCACTGCAGTATTGGCCAAGATTACTACTCAGCTGCCATAATTGAGGGTTCCATTCCTGTTCTCTGAAGATAGAGTATGGTACTCTCTGTGGGTCAGTGACGTTGAGTAAGTATGTTTGTCACCACTTGATTGAATAGTTCAGTATTCTTGGGATTTCGACTCCCATATTTTCTGTGATGTGGACACATCAAGAGCCAAATTGCTCCATTCGATGAAAGAGATCACCCCAGCAGCAGTCATCAAAGCTACCATTGAGCAAAAAGACATGCTAAGCACACTGCCTGGAAAGTTTTCAGATGTGTTAGAGGAGTAAAAGGAGGTCCACTGGTTAGGATTCTGCAAATATTGGGTTGGCCAAAAAGTATCTTGGCAATTGTTTGGTTATATGCCTTTTCAACTCTTTCATACTATTGGTCTTTCAAAAATAGTGGAGAGAGTAGAAATGGACCACAAAGTCTTCCCTCAACTAGTAAGTTCTTCTAACAAATCTCTCTTACATTCACAGTGTAATGAGGCAAGTTAGAAGTGAGAGTGAGTGAAAGAGTCAGAACAGTGTTTCTCAACACTTCCTGGGCTAATTTTTATCACCTTGAGGCAGGGCTGTAGATGGAGAGAAAGCACACATCTGATGCCTCTTCTTGCCTTGTGAACCTTATCAGACTTCAAACCCCTGCCTGGTGTGAGACAAAATATATTCATCAACAGTAGAGAAACCACACTGAATGTGCTAATGTTATCTTAATATGCTCATCACATCAAATGTTAAATACTCCCTACACTTCAAAATCGCACTGTCCAATATTGTAGTCACTTGCCAGATGTGACGATATCAATTTAAATTTACTTTTATTAAAGTTTCAGCACCTCGGTCACACTAGCCATATTTTAAGTACTCAGTAGCCACATGTGGTCAGTGGCTACCATACAACATTCCCACTATCACAGGAAGCTCTGCTAGCACTGCTTTAGAATATAAAATTTGGCCAACTTTATAGCTATAGCAGCCATCGCCGTTTAAAGTAATTAAATATCTGTATGATGTGTACTTTTCTTGTAGTTTTTCCTGTTTCCGAGAACATATGATTTCCCTCTGCTTGGGTTTAAAATAGACATACAAGTTTTAATCTGTACACAAAAATATGTCAGCAACTTCTGAGTGAAAGCAAATGTGGTCCGAGTGCCTCCTGCATCTGTCCCTGCCCAGAAAGATGGTCTTTCACACAGTGTTAAAAATCGTTCCAGTTGGTTGAGTCCAGACTTTTCACTTACAGACACCTGCTGTCCACTCAGAGCCATCAGAGGGGCTCGTGGGGTGGGTGTTTCCGGTGGTCTCAGCTTGTCCACCAGCACCTTTGGAGAAACAGAGGGTGCAGTGCCGTGTCCTACGGCACCTGCATCGGGGCATCAAAGTAAAGCCCACATTCCTCACCACACATTTAACTCTGCAATCCTACACCGGGAAGTGTTCTCCCTGACCCAGACTGGTGATCAGCTTCTGCCCTAAAGCATGAGAAAAAGGCCATTAATTCTACAGGGAACTGGGTTTTACAAGGATCACTTCAGCATGAAAAACAGAATACAAACAGCCTTTAACTCGTGTTTCTATGTCCCTCCCATTAACGTGGAACATGGGAGGGTTTATACTTCTTGTTATTTGAAAAAGAAAGCAATATTGACCCCAATCTAGAATATTGCTGGAGGCTGTGTAGAGAAATGGAAATGTGAGAGGTTCAGGTGGAAAGTATCTAAGTGTCTTGCTAGGGGCGCACTATTCTTTCTTCTCTTTTAACTGCAAAATGTATAAAAGGTGTTAGAGCTTACAGAACCTTTTTATTGTTTTGTTTTACAGCTCAAAGAATGGCCCATGGAGATTTAACCCCCCTTACCTCTAAGAAAAATGTGAACCTTCCCATCTGAAGGAGGGGGGAGGGGAAGAGTCAGGAAGAGAAAGATCGCTTTCCAGTCCTTGGCATGAACTGCCCCAAAGCTGGCGTGGGTGGCCGCCACCCAGATGGCTGTTCCCTTTGCAGCCTCACTGGAGAGCAGACGCCTAGGGCTGCTGTGAGAGGGGAGAGCTCCCGTCCCACCCGGAGCAGGTCAAAGTGCGCTGATGTCAACAGTCTTAGAATCTATAGAGAGGCTGGGCCAGGCCTGGCATCCGGGGGAGATACGGGGGGCCTGCTGTCTTTGGCAAAGCTCTATCTGAGAAGCTACCACCGCCTCTAACACCCTCCCCGTGGACATAGTGCGACTTTAGGGGAAACACATGGGGCCCGCACGCTGCCTGCTGTAATTAACCGGAGATCATTTAGGCTCCCTGATTTTCTCTAGCTCTTCAGCTGCAAGGCAGGGATAATAAGATCCATCCCATCACATCGCTCGGAGGAAAACTAAAATACGTAAAGCTCCCGGGCACGTAGTAGGTTTCCAATCCGTGGTGGCTCTGAGAGTAGTCACGACTCTGTGGGTGCTTTTCCTGGACCCACAGAGACTCTGCCCTAGATTCTCAGTGTCACCTGCACCCAAATACTTAGGGCTGTGTTCAGCTTTCGGAAGTGACAACTGTGCTGGGGCAAATATTATTTTTTGTCCAAAACGTCAAATGTTTAGAGTGTCCCTCTCAGGGCCCTGCCCTTCTGCACCCTCGCAGGAAAGGCGTGCCGGCTCCACACCAGCTCTCTCGGCTTGGGCTCCCGTGACAGGATGTCATCATGAAGTGACTGCGCGTGGTGGTGAAGCAGGAGAAAGGGGTCTCTGTGCAAAGGCAGGGGTCATGGCCGGAACTGGGAGAATTTTGCCGCTGAAGGCAAGGAGCAGCTGTGGTGCAAAAGGAAGAGACGGAAGAGGAAAGAGGGCTGGTGAGAAACGTTGCAGGGGGTTCAGAGATGTAAGGTGGGGGGACTTACTACTTTGAACGTCCTGTTCTATTGGCCAGGGTGTGTTTTGACTACATCACCACACCAGCATTAAGCCCCGCCCTCACCTTTTCAGTTGGGTTTACACCTGGGCGCGTCCTGCTGACCGCTCTGCGCAGACTCGTCTGAGGGGGTGGAGCCCTCTCTGCTCTCCTCCCACGCAGGCCCCTTCAGGTGGACGCGGGGCTCTGTGGGCTGATGCGCCCCGTCTCCCCTGACCTCAGCGGAGGCTACTTCAGACCAGGAGAAAGGTACGAAGGGGGACTTTGCACACTCTGGGTACCCCTGGTGCACCTCAAATCCGTGCTTTTGTGCGTGGCATGGGGGAGAAGGGAAGGTTGGGGCCCAGGCCCCTTTCAAATGTGGGACGTTTTATTAGGAGACGGGAACCGCCCAGCGGGCGGAAAGCTGCTGCATGCTGATGCCGGCGACCACAGGAGTGGCCTCAGGTTTGCAAATATCCTTTCCTGTCCGTCCAGCACCACGTGTCCGCCTTCGGTGTCCAGGGCAGAGACGCTCAGAGAATGTGGCGTCCACTCTTCCCTCGGTTTACTGGAGTTTAGAACCGCAGGAGACTGTGAACGCGCTTTGAAACTCCCAGGTGGGGCATTGACGACCCTTTGGGAGCCTTAAGCACAGAAACATTTGTGGTTCTTCTCCCACGTGTATTAAAAATAAAAACAATTCTTAGTTTATAAAGAATTGAAGACTGAGATATATGAAGACTGAGATAATGCAATGGAGGTTTTTTAAATGTTTAACTGCTTTGATGCTTCTAATTGAAATATCAAATAACATCCTTCAAAAATAGTTTTGGGGTCTTTAATTTGTTGGCACCCTAAGTCTGGGTGTAGGCTAGCCGCTGGGTAACTTTTTGCGCCGACCTGTGGGTGGAGAAGCAGATGAAGGGTGAAGCCGCCTTGTTGAAAAGAGGGAGTGGTGGCTGGACCCTGAAATTCCAGAGCGTCACAACCAGGTGGAGATCATTGTAATTTCTAAACTAGATGGGAGAATCTAGCCTGTTATCCTGTCTCTCTAGTAACACAAAAGGACTTTTCTTCATGGCAAAGTTTTCCCTAATAAACCTTTTTGGAAGTATTCACTATGGCATAACAAAAATATTTCAAAACCATTTGTATTTTTAAATTTTCTCCCAGTTATATTGTCAGATCCAGAAAACTGATAAAATAATCCTTATTACAGTAAGACTGGCTTTACTATGACAATAGTGATAGAATCACAACTATCTAACAGTTGCATTGTACTTTATAATTGACAAAGAATGTGATTTTCCAAATATCTTATCATTTGAACCTCATATCAGTTGTGTGATGTAACAGGAGGGTTATTAAAAGTCCTGTAAATTTGAGTTAATGAGACAACTTCTTTCACATTTTAATAGGGACTTTCTGGAGATGGAATTTCTTGACACCCAAGATCAAAGCATTGTTGATAGCTTATAATCATGATTTTATTCTATTTTTTTTCAGGGGACAAGGGAGAGGCCCCATTTGCCCAATAAAGAACACACTATAAAAGGTACCAATACTCCTTTTCACAGAATCCTCGTTCTTTAAGGCCTAGGGTAAGTGTTACCTCCTCTGGGAAGCCTGCCTTGCTGCCCAAGGAGTATTCTTTGTTCTTTCCCTTGCTGCCAGAGGTACTTGATCAAAGCTTCTATGTTTGTATCCTCCATGGATTGTGAGTTCTTTCAGGATTGTTTTATCCTCTTGTACATGAGCGGCATGTAAGCCAGTACTTACAGCACAAAATAGATGCTCAGTAAATAATATTGACTGACCCATGATGTAAATGAGGAAATGAATTAATAAATGATTCATAAGTGGAACCACTTCTGTGTGTTGAAGATGGTTCACCAAGTCAAGGCTTCTAAATTTAGCAAGGATTTATAAACTGGAGGATCTGGAGGGGCTCTGAAGTTGTAACTCAGAACCCCGCTTGTCAGGGTCAAGTGTAACTTAACATCAGCACCCTGAAAGCTGCATCTTTTGAAATGCTTCAAAATATGATAACAGTCTTAAGAGATATGCAGATATACAGAAATTGATTAGAATATTAGATGTGTCTGATGTTCCCTATGAGGACACCTTATAATTCTGTCCTTCCCATAAACTAAGAAATTCATAAGGAATGGAATGCATTCTGGTTACTCTTTTAAAGGCTTGCAAACATCCTCAAAGGCAGCATCTTGCAGGCAAGGCTCCTGGCAACAGTCTACTGATTTGTTAAGTATTCAGTTCTGAAAAAGAGAAGGCAAATGTGGAGAGCGTCTTCTGATCCTGGCTGCTGAAACACAGCGGTTATCACTAACGCTGATAAGCTGCTTGTCAGCACTCTGACTCCATGTTATACGAAGCTGCAGGCTCTCCTCGCTGATTAGCACGAGAGCTAGTAAAAGGCTTCAATAGCAACATTTGAGACAGATCTTCTGTAGCTTCAAACACGGAATCAACAGAGTTCTTTATGGAAGCCCAGCTGAAGTTCATACTTCACACCTTGGTACATTAAAAACATTAATTTTACTCAGCCTTTATAATCAGAGAGTCCCACCTACAGACATTTATTTGAAGATGTCTGAGGGCCCGCACAAGTAGAGAAGTAGTAATACTTCTAAAGAAAACTGCTCCTTGGAAAAGGTAGAGATTAGGAAGAGTAATAATTATACCTGAAATGTTAATAACTGGATATCTTTTTCTGTAAATACTCTTACAAGTATTTACATTTAAAAAGATAAAATTGCTAAAAAAAAATTAGAAGAATAAGAGCAGTATCAGTGAAAAATGGGCAATTTTCTTTTTTGTTGATGTTACTGCCTAGTTTCCTTAGTAATTCTTCTATGTGAGCCTGGAAAACTGAAGGAGAGTATTATTATGCAAAGCATTCTGGCACAAATGGCATCACATATCTCATAGATTGGGGATTTCTTGAAAAAAAAAGAAGAAAGAAAAGAAAAATGAAGCATTCAGTGTTTGGGGTTTTCAGTGAAAATTCATTGCTGTGCTTGCCAATACTATCCTGCAGCTGGATGTATGCTACTGCTACATCCCGTTTCATCCCCAGGAGGGGAGAAACTAGAAATTCAAACAGCTTCATATTAAGCTCTTAAATTCAAATTAGGGGACAGTAGAATATAACTTTTAATAAATTTTAACATTTCTCTCTTCACAAAGATCACATAAGAAATATTATTCAGAGATTAGGGAGTATAGGTAGAAAACATCAAATGTCTTTAAAATTATTGTGAGATAATATTAGTGAAAATGAGAAAAGCAAGCATTGTAGGTTTTTAAATTCAATATAAAGGAAACAAATGATGCAGTCCCATTAACAAAGCAATGAACTCAGCTACTAAGCACTCTAAATCTGTAATATTTGCAACATCTATCTGTAGCTTTCCTTTTGGCCCAAATGAGGGTTGGGTTTACTCAATGTAAAAAGAAAATCAATCATGTCTATTTCAAATTTAGATTCAAGGCTAACCTGTCTCAAAAGAGAAATTCCTGGAGGGCTGCTGGGTTATGACAGCTCTTCCCTTTGACCCGCTGCCAAGGCTAAGCTAATCCTTTCTCAGTCCTTTGTTGCCATCTTCCTCATTCATAATCGTCAGTCTGGAAGGGGTGGAGGAAACATAGTTAAGAGGGAAATTTTCATGTATTCGGATCTCCATTCCATATCATTATATTCCAAACTACTTAGAGATCTTAAAATGCTTCGTGATGTTGTTCAGTAATACACAGTAATCTTGAAGAGCGAAATAGTCATCAGAAGGCTAGAGAAATGCAAATACTATTTGAATTTTTTAAAAATCTTTTTTATTATTGAGAATTTCAAACATATTTGAAAATAATATAACAAAATCCCGAAAACTTATCACACAGCTTCAGCAATTATCCACTCTTATACTCTACCCCATCGCCTATAATGTATCTACTTTCTCCAGCCTGTAAACTTTTGAAGTAAGTCCCAAACATCCTAGTATTTCATCTCTCCATTTCAGTATATGTCTCTAAAACAACTCACTTATTAATATAGTGAAAATATCAATATCCTAGCTAAAAAATTGAACACTTTTAAAAATATTATCAAACATCCAGTAAGCATGCAAACTTCCCACTATCTCATAAATGCTATAAATGAATTTATTTTATAGTTTATTTGAATCAGAACCCAAGTAAGTCCATATGTGACAGATGATTTTTTATGTTTCTTTCAATTGTTGGTTTTCTTCTCTGTCCCTACTTCTTTCTCCCTTTTATTTCTCTTTTATTTCTCCCTCTTTTATTTTTTGTTGCGTTGTTGTTAAAGAAACACAGGGTTTTTTTTTTTTAATGTACTTGAATAGCTTCCTCTGTCTTCTGTATATCCTGAATATTGGTAGTTGGATCTAGAATTTTGATCAGATTTGGATTAGATATTTTTCCAATACAATTTCATGGGTGGTGGGGTGTTTTATCAGAAGGCAAAAAATGTCTGATTTTCTCTCTTTTGTGATGTTAGCGGACATTGATATTCAATGCTTAGATCAAGTAGTTCTTTAGGGAAGAAAATAGTAATATTCAAGCTCTATTCTTTCTTCTTCATTTATTAGGTGGAATACTATTATAAAGTGAAACTTCCTCTGATCTACTCTTAGGTTATCCAATGGTATATTGGTATGGGAAACGCAGGGTAAATGTTTGCTTCTTTCTCTTTATGTACCCATTTCCAAAATAATGATTTCAGTTCTTAGCATATTCTGATGGTGATCAGTTAGGTCTTTTTATTGACATTATAATAAAGTCATGGAAGTAAACATTTAATATATTTCTGTACATTGCACCTATTATTTTCATTGGTGTTCAAATTAAATCATGTTAGCCCATGGGAGGCTCTTCAATTTGGCTCTTGAGATCTTTTGAAACTACTTGAATAGTTTTTGATAGATTCATGGCTATATTGTATTACAAGATATTTCAGCCATCTTTGCATGTTTCCTGTCCCAGACCTGGAAAACCTTTTTGCTAAGGATCCTCAGGTTCTTTTCCATAGGAAATGGTCCAATCCGTAGAGAACAGAGCTTGGATTTAGGTACTAGTTGCATGTGTCACACCTGGGTTGTCACACTCATTGTTTCCTTTTCAGTAGACAGAACTAGGTATAAGTTCTTGCTTTTTAAAGAGAAAGTATTTCATGCCTTATATCAAATTTTCTTTTAATATTCAGGTTTTTACATTTGTATTTTCTTTCTCCTATGCTATCAGTCTCAATTTTAAGGAAAATAGTTTTTATGTCAATGTGTTTCTAGTCATTTTTATTCTTTGAAGTTCATTTTCTGGAAGATTCCTCAGGAAGGGTGTAAGGGTATTCATCATGAGCTTGTATGTTGTTAACAATTTGTTGGTAACTGAATATAAAATCTTGTCTCACACTTTGTTCTTTGGTCATCTTAAAAAGTTACTCCATTGTCTTCTGTCATTGCTTCCCTTCAGTAGCATTGCCATTGTAAAGTCTAATTGCATTCTGAATTTCTTTCTTGCTTGGAATTTTTATCTTTAAGGCCCAATGATTTTATTAAATGTTTTTGGTGCGTTAGATTTTTATTGTTGCTGTAATAAAATACCACAAACTTAACAGCTTAAAGCAACACAAATTTATCCTCTTACAGTTCTCTAGGTCAGATATCCAAAATGGGTCTCAGTGGGCTAAAACCAGCATATCAGCAAAGATGTATTCCTTTCTGGAGGCTCTAAGGGACAATATGTTTCCTTGCCTTTTCCAGCTTCGAGATGCCGCCCACATTCCTTGGGTCGTGGACCCCTACCTTCCTCTTCAAAGCCAGCACCATCATATCTCCCTCGATCCTTTTTCGGTAGTCACATTGCTCTCCCACCACAGCCAGGAAAAGTTCTCCTCCATTCAGGAGTCATGTAATTAGATAGGGCCCACTCAGCACAGGACAATCTCGTCTCAAGGTCCTTAACCTTAATCACAGCTGTAAAGTCCCTTTGTCATGCAAGGAAACATACAATTCTGAAGATTAGGGTGCAGACATCTTTAAGGGGTCATTATTCTTCTACCATGCTTGATATTGTTTGTTCTGGGTCAATTTCCCAGGGAACATGGTGGATCATTTCAATAAGGAGTTTCAAATCTTAACCTTATGTTTGAAACATTTTTTTGAATTACAGGTTTTTATTGTCACTATTGTTCTATTCCACTGCATTGCTTTACTTTTCCAGAGACTCCTGTTATATATGTTGAGCTTCTTTACTTGCTTCTAATTTACCAATTTCACTCTAATACTTTTTATTTCTTTCTTCATTTCTTTCATTTTTTTTTTCTTTTCACCTATTTCTGTTAAGTTATTACATATTGTATTTATTTACTCTTGTGTTCTTTTGGTTTAGTCTTTATTTCTGAATGTTTTTTCTTTTATTTTAATTCTCTTCTGGGTTCTACCACTCAATTTATATTAGACTTTTTTTTAGAATAGTTTTAGATTAACAGAAAACCTGAGCAGATGATACAGAGAGTTCCCATAATCTCCCCTCCATTTATTAGCATCAAATATTAGTTTGTTATATC